AAAAAAAAAAAGAAAAAAAAAAAACTCTTCTCCCTCTTCAAGCCCCCTCCCTTCTTCACGCCCCCCACCCCTTCTTCTTCATTGTTTCTCATCATTGATACAGTTTTCTATACACCTTTTCTTCACCACTCTCTTTAATTCCCTTCTCTGACTCCATAAAAAACACCCTTAAACCCACCTTTTCAATCTGACAGAACACACTTCTGTGCCTGTTCAGATTTCTTGGATTAGAAAATAGTAGTATGGCACTATTGATACCATTCATACTCCTGGAAGCTCTCCCCAAAATACAGACATGAATGAACACCAAACATGTATACTCACTAACAGCAACACCGAGAAAACCACAATTTCCATTACCATAGTCTCTCTATGTAATACCCAGATTCCAAAAAGCAATTAGTTTTAGTTTTTTCCGAGATTATACTGGGTTGTTGTTGTTGTTGTTGTACTCAAGATTTGGTTTCCAAAAGAACACTATTTTCATACAAAATACGTGAGCATAGCGAGTTCGATCTGAATCAAATAGTTCAATGCGCATCTCTGCCTAATCAATTACAGGAATAGTTCAATGCGCATCTCTGCCTAATCAATTACAGGACAGCATTGACAAAAGTTGGCCGGAAAAATTCCTCCGGCAAGCGCTCCTTTTTCTTTCAGTCAACCTTCAACCGCTTTTATTCATCTCATGCTAACTTTCTTTCTCTTGGCATCACTTTGTCAAAAACCATTATCATTATTCCATCAAGATGAAACTCAAAGATTTTGAAACCCGTTAGTTGGTTTGAACTGTGAAGTGCTACAGTGAACAGCGAAGGGGGGATTTGGAAAGGGATTTTGTAAAAAAAAAAATGCAGTAAAAGAGTGAAAAAAGAAAAAAAATTAAGAGTAAAAAGAAAAATTGATATCTGACATGGAAATTATGTGGCGAAGTTATAGGGAGAGTGTAAATCACCTCCCACCATGCACATGTTGTGTATGTCAAAAGGGGTTATTAATCATTCCAAATAAGAACAAGGGGGTACTTGAACGCCCGTAAAATTCCAGTGTGCAACAAATTTTTCTGGAC